TCGTGTGCCTCGTCTTGAACTTGTGGGTCTTCAGTCTCGGCACAAGGAAATGCCTCTGGTTTACACTCTTGATCATTTTCTCTGAATCCTCCGTAGTACTAGCAAAGGATATTTAGTGAAATTCATTTTAGTTTTTTTATTTGGGTAGTTAAACTATTGCACCCGTACAATTCATTTGCAGAACTTAATTGACTTTGATGAGTGAAAATTCAAAAGTTAATATACTTTGTATTCGCCATTTATTTTGTTGCATTTCATGAAATGTCAATTCATCTCTATTTTTATATGCAGTGAGCAGTTTCAAATAACTCTGCTTTAGGATAATTTTGATAAAGCATTGACAATTGTTTTGTCTGTTCAAAATGTACTAACAGGGGATCAAATTTACTGATCACATAAGTTTTTGGCAGATGCTGTTTAGTTTTTTTAATGCATTTGATGCAACCTTTTAATGTTAATGGCTTTGGGAACCACGCTGCCCGACAGAAGAAATGTAGATGGCGCCTAGCTCTTCTTATTTATTGATGCTATAATATGGTGTAATATGCAATGTAACAAACATTGATCCCTGAGTGAGCACAGTTATGTGAAGTGCCTTAATGTAAACTAATTGAATCATGTTCAGTAACGCTTTTTAACTGCCTTCTACCACGATTTCTAAGTCTACTTGCTGCCCGCCACATGCCATTTTGCAAGCCAAACAAATGGTCATACTGCACAATCAACACTGATATACTTTTTGATATAAGCAAATGAATTCTGGTCATTTCGTTATCCAAACGTGCTCATCAACAACACAATTATGTTTACCCATATTTTGTCAGTTTTAAACGATGAATTCAAATATCTTTATTTCGCTAATTAATTTCTCTTACTTTCGCAAAATATTTTTAGTAACATGTTTTTTTGCATTCCTAATTAATGCGTCGGTTCTAACTGAATTCCACTACTGTTCGTGCGTGTTGACGCCTTTTCCAGAACCGTCATAGCGATGTCTTCTGGTCGCATTGCAAGGTCATCCACAAATTGGGCTCACTTACATCGTCATTGCCCCAAGCACCAGCTGGAACAATTTAGAGACCTCAAAACCAAAACCGATGGCTTAGTTTCGAGGTAATGTTGGGTTATGTGTTGTACCGATTTCTGGTTTTGGAATTCGCGTGTTCTCGTTCCTTCTCTTAATTAGAATCTCGTGTTCGAATTATTTCCTTTATCATGTGTGCTCTATGCATTTAGAGGCCGCTTCTTCTTTAGTGGTGTCCTTGTACAGGTTAGTTTGGTTTATACTTCTAGGCTCTTACGCCTCACAAAGCCATAGGCATCCCCACAATACTTGTACTTTTATGTGAAATACTTTTGCGTGACTGCGAGGCTTACAGTTTACCTGAATATCGCCTCTATTTGAACGTATAATGTTGGATTCATTGTGTTAATTTCACAACTTCTGATCTATAAAATATATTTTTCCTTGCTATTTGCATTAATATGCAAGAGGACATTTGTATTATTCCTGCCATCTAACTTTTTTCAATAATGTATGGTCATGCATTTACCTTTAGAATATCGTGTTTACCAGAGAAGCTTCCGGAAATCAATTGGGACCATTATCAGAAAGTAGTGCCCGTTCCAGGTCTTGTTGACAAGTTCAAGAAAGAATATATGTCATTGCAAGTACCGGCTCCCACTGATTCGAAAAATCTTGGTAAGATGGTGGATGCTCAAGCAACGAAAATGGTAACCCCTTTTCTGTCGTTATTTTGTTTTTAGACTTCAATGGCAAAAAAGCACATTGCGTACTGCGAAAGTATGAAAGTTGATGCGAACAAAATGGTTAGCTGTGTGCATGGACCTGTATATTTTTTCCTTTTTGCAACTCCCATGGTGATTTCTGTGATATTCGTGAAACCTAATCTTAATTTAAAGCCACGTTTGGCCAGCGATAATTCGTTAGATTTGCTTGTACTGAGAGTTTATTTATCGTTACTTATTACGTCACTCATATGATTCGTGCATTAAAGTTCACTAACTTTTCACATTAATAGTGGGAATTTTGAATCTTACGATGTTAAGTGGTCAGAGAAAATTAATGAAATTTTTTAGTCCTTTGTGTATTTATTACAATAGAAAAAGGCCCTGGAAAAGTTGCCCCCTTTTGACGAGATGATTCCAGAAATCGTTATGGCTTACTTCCCGAACACCAACATGGACCCGTTTTTCACAGGAGAAGTCCCTAAGCTTGCGACGCAAACAGTGCTTCAAAACACCGCTCCAAAGGTTCATTGGGACTTCAGTTAGATTTGTTGACGAACATTTTGCATGCAGACTTGTTTACGTCCTCGCTAGAATATAGTGTTCGTAGTTTACATGTAATTTTCAATAAACAAGTGAAAGTAAATTTGTTTTCAGTTCTAAGTTTCCGACGCTGTTGAAATACACTTCCATTTTTACTCTCGTTCCTACCTCAGGCACACTTTGAGGAAGCAAGTTTTGGTTGGTCCCATAATAAGGTACATCAAACGTTCGGCCTCTACGCTTGTTGGCCACAGCCAAAACATTGTTTGTCTAAAGTTAATCGAATCTCGATGGGCCCGTAGCGCATCATAACGTCACCGCTTCCTAATTTGGTTAACTTGAATGTCTAGGAATACACCTGGGCATAAACCTTGTGGTACTCATCGGTCACTGTACATGTGGCATCCGTCGGTCGCCCTATTTTCCCATTCGAATTTGACTACACATCTCGCTGCCAAAACAACACCAGCTCGGACAACCAAATAACCCATTGCAACAATAGCTCGAGACCTTGACAAGTCATCTTAGTTGCGTTGACCATCTACCCCAAGTAATTTCCTGGCCATCATCCTCTCATTCGTCATGCCACCAAAACGTGGATAGCCCGGGATTATTATTTTGTTGATTCAAGCAGACTATTCAGGCATGGATAATGTATAGGCTGCAGCAATTTAGTAGGGGTAAATAGGAATTAAAAACGCCCGTGGCACCATTTCATCAGGAGTCGAAAATGGTGCCCCAAGTAAGAATTGACCGAGGATATGATCAGTTAGTTTCTAATAATAGAGGACACTAGAAAAAGATCATTCGAAAAAAAGAAATATTTACAAGGGAGAAGGAACACCGTGTTTATCGAACAGGAGGTTGTATCGGTTCAAGTCCGTTATCCGAACTCGACCCCCCTGCTTGAAGGTTTTCGTTTGAGTTGGTCGGGGTAGATTGCTGGGGTGGTTCAGGGTCATCGCGCATCGACCTATACTTTGCCATCTCTCCTGGGAATCTTTTCGAAAGTTCCAACATTAACAGACAACGAAAACGGCGCAAGCTCTCGAGCTTCCCACGAACCGCTTCGTTGTGTGCAATAGCGCGCTCCATACACTCCCTACTGTAAATTTGTGGATTCTGGCCTGCGTCAATCTTCGAGAATACAGCAATAGGCACGAGTACATCTTGCATATCCTGTTGCATACGGTCAACATCCTGTGTTAAGAAACGAAAGGTGAGAATTGAAATAGTGGAGGGTGAGCCGCTATAACGAAACAGCTACTTTAGATCAGAGGCCATGTGCCAACTTATTACCCGTACATTTGCAAGAAGTAAAAATTATATTGTCGATTTGAGAATGTTTAACTAACAGGAGTATACCAAAGTGTATGATATGCTGTGCACTTCATTACCAAAATAAAGATACTGGGGTGACTACGACAGATAAAGGGGGATTTAGTTAAGATTTTACCGCCTGAATTATGGATCTGGTAGTAGAAAATTCAAATTAACGACGTTTAGAAAAATTATAAATGATGAGTCAAAGAACCCGACCAAGCCTGTTCAACTAATGAGAATTATTAAGCTATAACACCGGAAACCCAATTCTCGAGAACCTAACCCACTCCATATAGCGTTCGATATCCGGTTGCAATTTCACTGTTGGCACCATGGTAATGAAAACATAAGTAAAAAAAGCAAAATTAAGAGTGCAACGGAATCCAAGACAGGACTTGATACAGAAACGTAGATTAACCACGATGCATGTATAAAATAAACCAATGTGCCTGTAAAAAATCCGAAAACCAAACAAACCTAGAGACACAAATATTATAAGATTTACCTGGAGCTTTAACACAAGATCGTTGATTTTTTTATGAAAAGCCACACCTGGCTGATAGTCGCACACTATTATACCGGCCTCACGACAATGATCAATGACGCTCTCAATGTGCTCATCAAGGATTTCGAACTTCTTGCCACGATCAGACATGGTGTATAGCTGCTGTGGCGTAGTGTGGTGTGGCTGTGTGGTGTGGCGTCGGATCAGGGCGCAGACATGTTGGACAATCTGGACGCAGCCAACACCGTTTCTCTCTGCGATCCAATGGCATGCGGGAAAGGAAGGCAGCCAACCAGAGAAGGACATGGATGAGATGCAGTATATAATGAGCGGCATTGCCAGCGCGGTGGACTCGGATGGAAGGCGCCTGACGTGTGGCTCTGGCTTCTGATTGGTCAATAAAGCCTGTTCTGTTGTACCGGTCTTTTACCTACTAGGGCTCGGGTATTCTACATGGCGACGGATAAGGGCGCAGACATGTTTGACCACCTGGACTTAGCCAATCCTGTATCTATTTACGTTGCAATGGCCTGCGAGGAAGATTACGAGCCAACCAGAGGACACGACTGAGGTGCAGTATATAATGAGCGTCGTGGTCAGCGTGGGGGACTCGGATGGCGGGGGCCTGAGGTATGGCTCTGGGTAGTGATTGGTCAATGAAGCTTGTTCTTTTGTACTGGTCTTCTTCCTATTAGGGCTCGGGCATTCTACATTGGTGGCAGCAGTGGGATGCGTTCGAATATAGCGAATCGAGCCCCAGCCCTTGCCCTACAATGGACAACAGGGGCAAACACCCTTATATGCCACCTGAAGTTGTCATGGCGGTTCGTCCGATGTCCCATACACTGGATCCATAGACTTTGCCCGGGATTAGGACTACTGCATCTGAAGAGGCATTGGCAACTCAGCGACGACGACTTGAACAGTGAAAGCCAGCTGGACTGCAACTGCGAATGGACTTACGATGGATGAAGATTACCTCCTGCAAGTCTCCAAGAGTAAAGTCCCTCGTCACCTATTCGCTTGGGCCACTATCCGGCCAGAAGTGGGGTGCGGGGAGTGTCGAACTGGATATTTTGACAATCATAAACAGTGCGGGAACTAAGCTAGAAGCTGAAGACAGCTTCATTGCTGTGAGAGAGGCAGTGTGGTGTGTTGTACACTTCGGCAAAATGGTATGGTCAAGAAGAGAGTAAGGCAAAATGGAGTCCTTTAATAAATGCTGAAACAAGCCACAGTCTTGTCACAAACAGGTCGGGCGTAAGGGGGAAACAGGGTATTTATATATCCCTCTCCTGGTTGTTCTATTCTCCCGTTGGTCCATTTCGCAGGTCTGCGATGGAGACGGAAATCTCATTAGCCGATTGGCTCTCAGTCCACGCTCGTCATTCAATGCTCCCGTGACGCCAGGCAGCCGGTGGTCGCAATCCCGGTCACATGACGTCATCACGCCCTGCCGATTACCTTCAACCCATGACTGAGCACCAAGATGGCTACGTCTGAGGGTGCAGACACATTGGATCACACTAGCCTCAGCCAATCCTGGGTCTCTGCGTCCAAACGGCTTGCGTGCAAGATAAGCAGCCAACCAGAGGTAGACAGGAATGAGGAGCAGTGAAAAATGAGCGGCGTGGCCAGGGTGGTGGACTCGGATGAACGTTGCCAGACGTATGGTTCTGGCTTCTGGTAAGTCAATAAAACCTTTTCTCTGGTACCAGTGTCGCTCATACTAGGGCTCGTGTATTTTACAGTAGAGACGTACTACTCTGATGACATAATGGGTTTTGACTACCTTAGCGAATTCTCTGAATCTTTTAGCTTGAATGGCCTGCGAGGAAGATCTGCAGCCAACCAGAGTCAGAGAAGCTTTATAGACGCATATATTGAGCACCATAGCCAGCTTGAACTCTGACGGACGGTGCCTGATATGTGTTCCTGGCTTGTAGTGGGTCAATAAATCGTGCTCTGTTGAATCAGAATAAGCTTAAAAGTAATAAGCACGTTATATCTATGTGACTACTTATAAGAACAAAGTCTTAAAAATGCACGCTTAATCTTAAACTTCTGCGTTATTTGAAAAGTGTTTTGAAATTTATTGTCATGGACAGATAATGTCCTTTAATAAACCAAAATCTTCCTAGATTTATAGCAACAAATTATTTTGGTAGAATATCTTTGTATTACGATAGTCAAAAATTCTGTCATCTTTTAAAAAAGACTGGAAAATTTGAATGTTCTGGCTTAAATTATTCATCAGTATCCAAGTTAAGTAAATAGATACCTTTAAAATTATATTTCACCTGACAGGAATTACATTTAGAGTTCCTTTATTTTGTTCAGAAACCAAGGTCTAGTCAGGTTGAAAGAGCTAGTTTAATTCGAGTCAGACTGCATTAATTTTAAGGCCATATTTACAAATGGCATATTTGGTTAATTTAGCATGGTAATTTCTTGTCCAATTTTACATCACTGCATCGTAATGCCCTTGAGCATGTACTAGAATACTCATACATTTGGTTTTCCACCCTTAATGTGTAGACGTATGGACCGAGGACAAAAAAGCAATGTAAACGAAATCAGTGATTAAACTTTCATCAACGCGACCCTCAACCTTCATAAGGAAACATTTTAGCCATTGTTATGTATCATTACTTACTAAACATTTCACACAAACATCAATGTTCATGCTTCTTTGCCGCCCTTTTAATCATTACTAGACTTCATATTGTATGTTGTCAACTTACGTGAATTTGACTCTCATTACAAACCACATCGCATAAGTAGTAACAGGATGCTTAAATCCTCCCTATTTATGGTACCCATGTAGCTTCTAAAAACCCTAAAGTAATGGTACCTTTTTTGCTCGAAATGTATACAAAGAAGAGGAAACACGTTCGAACACCGCAATTCACAAATCTACATTGATCAATTAGATCAATTCGCTCGGATTTGGGGAAATTGATAACTCTGCCACAGTAAATGATTATTGTAGGCAAGGACTTTGTTTGAATGCAAACCGGTCCCCTGGATTCTAAACAAAATTCTTAAATGAACATGAACCAATCCCAAATAAACCCAAAATCAAAATACGGTGTGTTTCAAGGTTTAATTTCCTTCAAGGTTGTGAAGGCAGAAACCACAGAAATGTCTATCAAAACTAGTGATGTGGACCCGGCATTCCTCATGGCAGGTTAGGATTTCGTCACTGTTTGCACCATTCCCCTAACCACGACAATTCAGATGGTGTCACCACGGTAATCTACAGTTAATCCACCTTCATATCTCAGGCCAGTCGTCCTTGACTTTTGTAAGTGGGCATATTCTGGCAGACCATTCGGCCTTTAGCTGATACATTAAAAGCTATCTGCACGAGGTCCTGTCTTGTCCTGCATCAGCGTAGGAAGATGAGGGCTAGCATCCGACAAGGGATCTAGGATACCGATTACCTGGTTACGGGCAAGCGTAACGGTTAGACACACACTAGCTTTGGGTTTTCGAGAGGACATTCTAGATAGTTAAGGCGTAATAAAATAAAAAGAACGCATCGAAACCGTTAGTTAGAAATTAAACCGAAAATACACGTAATCAAATGAGCGATTAAACTGACCTCAAATGCGGATCTATGCCTACGGACGAGCTGGCATCTGACATGTTTCATTTTGTAGACAGCCAAAACAAACTATAACTTTGAATCCCGCAAATTATGTCTCACATTAGCAATAATTATTGGGAGTGCCTACGAAACTCATAAACTAGTTATGGGACAAAGTGTGGATAAATACTAGCAGTTCCCCACAGTGTCGAGGGCGAAAACAATTAAAGCCCACTAGGCGTTTTGCGTGTTTCAATTAAATAAAGGACAGATGAGGTCGGATGCCGCACTCTATATGCCAACGAAAACTTTAAGGCTGCGAATTCACGATGACTGAAATTACTATTTAAAGCAGAACTGAGCTCTTGTATCCAACACTACTTCGAGGAATATACTTTGGAAAATTTTAAAACACATGATTTTGGAAAGCACGATTGGATCTGTTGGTATTTCATAACATTCGAACGGGAAGAAAGCAATTCGGGGACTATGTAAATGTTCAACTACACATTAGGGGGCGACTTCTTATAAAGTTAACGCCGTTGCAAATTAAGGCCTGACAAAAACTCCCAATAATGGAGTAGAAATGATCAAACTTGAAACAATTAAAAGCCACAGGAATTTACAGAGTATTTTGGGAAGAAAAATCGACATCGACTGTATGATAAACAGAAGAATTAAAGGAGCACGATCGATTAAATGGAACTTTTTTTACAAGCGGCGGATGTGGGCTCAAAATACGTAATACCAAGTGGAGACAGAGGGTGGCTAGATCAAAAAAGCGAGAGTGGCGGCGATGATTATTAGTGTACAAGCACACCAGGAGTTAAAGTCTGCATGAAATGGGAAGGTGTCACACCTGGCGAGAAATGCCCATTGTGTGTTCTGCTACTCGATGGCCAACCTGCGCCACTGTCGGGAGGAGCACCTAAAAGCCAATAAGACATAGAAGATGCCAGCGAATTACCATGTGGAAATAAAAACAAATTGGGTGTCAAGAAGCCCCGTTGTGTGTTTCACACACCGCTTTAGTGATCGTGACAAACGATCAGATTTTGTGGATGTGGTAAACAATGGATATTTATCATGATGAAAGGATGTTTCTATAAGTCACCTATTTTAGACATGTCGGATGCAATCACGTAACTCATTCAGATGACGGTAATGAGCCTTCTATACACACAAAGACGAAGATCTGTAAAAAACGCCTCCAAGGTTACTTTATTGGGTAAACATGTTCGTCCTAAAGACTTTCCACTCAGTGAAGTTGTGCACAATTTATGGCGGCCATTACATGTGCTAAAACAACAATTTATGACCACGTGGGATGGCGTAAGTATCACGTACCCAGCATACTAACATGTCCTATTAGTTTTAAATTGAATCTAACTACACGTTGATTCACAACGAACTTCAGTTATCGAACAAGACGTTACACACATCGAAGTGAAGCATTTCAAACAAGAAACACCAAAATTGCAATATTTTAAAGGAATAAAACCACTTTCTGAAAAAAGCACAGCATAGGATCGTTACTTTAGTTAGTCACTCGAATTACGGCCTCTAGCAGTATTTAATAAAGCCATGAATATTTTCCACCTAGAATAAACTTGACTACGATCCACTGCCCGACTAATTTTTGCTCCAAAACAATGCTGTACTAAGGCCTACTAGATATTAGACGCTCAATCGTAGCACCACAAATACTGGCTTCTCACTAATTCATGCAGTGCTAAAACGAACACGTTACTGGACACACGTGATACGGAACTAAACACGGTCTTGGCAACCGGGCGCCAACACTGCATTCCGGGGAATGGCACAAAATAACAGGTCAGTTCTCCTCTGCACTCGTAGCTTACAGAAGTGCAACGAAAACGCGGATCGCTCGAACACAACTTGAATTCCTACACGAATGTTTTCATGAATTTGAAGAAATTTAAGAAAACGCAGCATTACTGGGACAAAGTAGACTTTTGTTGCAAAAATAAATTGAATGATAAGCAAAACACTTGAAAAGCACAACATTTATCAGCCACCGAGACATGAAGTTTAGCGATGCATTTCAGCAATTATAAGCTTTAGGTGCTCAAGGCGCTCACACTGCTTCTAAAGTTCACATATTTTGAATAGCTTCTGCTTAATGAATCGTATTGTAACGCCACGCACCTGCATTGAAAGGCGGGCTGTTATAAAACACGCACATTTTGATAACGAATGGGCTCCCTGGTTACATTTTATCGAACCAAAGTAACAATGAACAATGCTTCACTGAAGTGTCCCCACCACAAATGATACGTTTTGGTTATGCAACAAGAAAACCCGTTAAAAGTGATGGAGTTTAGGCCCAAACATAACAAATCCCAACATTGCCTTTCCAGATGTTAGATATTGATAAGCGTGCTTTTAGTTTTAGAACAAAAGCTAACAAATGCACAGTACACCCATTAATACGACTGAAGTGATATTGCATATTTAGGTCCTGAGAATTTACACTTGGCGTCCTAGAGCCTTCAATTACTATCGGGATAAACGACCTACTGTAGAAAATTATCATCAATAATGCATGTACTTGGAAATGACAAAAAGTCAGACTTAGTAACTCCGTGAAATACATATACTTGTTGGTATAATAGAATCAACTACAATAGTGACACCCAGTAAGCTTGTCAATGGTGTTTGAAATGACTTGATTTAAAAGTGCATTTCTGTTGCAAAAACTTCCCCTAACTCTCAAACGCCAAGCTTGTCACATAGACAAGGCGCAAGATTAACACTCAGACAAACTCTCATATTAATATTTTCATTTAAAAAAATATGCAATAACCTCGTGAAGACAATTTGTTACTCCATTGTTCGAAAATGCCAGTGATAATAGTGAAATGTAGAATAAATTATGCTCACTTTATCGGCGATGCCTTGGGCGATGCGGTCAATGTGTTCCCCAATTTCTGGTCCGTTGCCAGTGAATCGAACGAACATCCACGTGCCAAGAGCAAGCAGCAGCGACCAGAAAGGAAAAAGAAGAACGTTGGAGACTGCGGAAAGACCCACTGTATCGAGAAGACCCGTTATTACGTAGAAACAAAATATTGTTATCAGAAGAACCATGGGGGTCTTGAAGTGCTACAATACAATAGGAAGTGGATGAATGTCTTATGACATAGACGCCAAATGTAAGATGAGATGTCATCTTTTCGGGTTGGGACATGTATTTCAAAGGGACATTAACAGTTTTTTAGAGTAATAATCTTTATATTCTGCGAATTATCAGCCCTAGGTGGATACAATCTAGTCTATTTCGTGCAGTTAATGAAGTGCCAAAAAATGAAGAGACAAGTATTGGAGGTAAATACAAGAAGTGCAAATGTACAAAAGAAACAAGGTAAATCAGACTGCCTGAATCAACAAAAAGTGTAAATACAGTGATACCATAAAAAATGACCAAATCAAATACCTCCAAGTTTAGTATTTAAAACATAAGTTGCAAGAAGGAAATAAATAAACAGAATAGACATCAGTTTGTGGATCCAAAGGGGAGAAAAGTGTAATGCATAGGAGTAAAAACAGGAAAAAGTACATTTTAACGCTCTTGGAACTGAAGACTGGAAGACAAATGTGTGATTATTAACAGACACATTATGCAAAACTTTGGATTTCCAATGTTCCAGGGACACACTTACTAATTTTTGCCCAAAGCTTTTCGTTTAAGCACTATCCTGAATACGTAGTTTAGGAAAAACAGTGCACTTGAAAAAAATTATGAAAGGATACGTTAAATAAGATACAAAATGTGGAAGTGTCAACACACGGTGAATAAAAGACACTTGGCGAATTTCTCACTGTCTTGGTGAGAATGGATCGACGAACCGAATATTGCATTCTTAAGAGTTGACTGCTAATTACTTGTAAACAGAGGTGCAAAGAGTTATTACTTACTTGTTTGTGCATTGGTCCGGTTTACGTTACCCAAATGTAATGGTTGGCTGTCTTGATGGGTTTACTTACGCTATCCATGATACCGTGGTTGGTGCTACTAAAGAGCGGGTAGTCGGTTACATCCAATGTTGCTATTGCACGCCTTATTTAAACAAATGTACTAAGGAATTGCAAGTGTCCTGTTCACAACAAGATCACCATATGTCTAAAACCCCGCGAAAAATCTTACTGCTCCGAATGATAACTAATTACCGAGGCTATTGTGAAAACGTGAGGAGGAAAACACAAAACAAACGGCGCGTCCACTGCAATTCTACTCGTTAAAGTGCACTACAAAATTTTCTTCACTTAGGAAACTACAATTGGATGAGGTAATGAAAATAAGACTCCAAGTTTTAGACAATAATGATTAAATATGATACCATATCAAAAAATTAAAAGGTCGTTTTTGCTTGATTCATTGTTAATCGAAATGTACCTCATTGACAAAACATCTAACAAAACAGAAGTTACCATAACGCTGTAAACGTGAACGCATACGACTCAAGACACCATCCGCGTGTATTCACTAATGCACGGCCATGCTCTGGCTTAGAAGTCAAAAGACGTAAGCACCTGGTGGCCAAGTGTTACCTTGAGAAAAAAGGTAATCGGGACCGTGACGTTATGATTGAAATAGTCACCCATTCGCAGTCTATTGAATGTATTATACATGCATGCTCCTTGACTTACCCAGTAATTAAAAGATTACACGTAATCGGCGGCTAGGCAAAATCTTCGCCTTCTATTAAAGCAAACAGTACTTCCCGGAATACTAAGGCAGATTGTTATTACAATTTTTGTTGGTCGAACTTATGTTTGCACTAAATATAACAAGCCCATTTCAATTATTATAAAACTTGGGAAATTCGCTATTTCTAACCCCTTTGCTTGAAGCCTCTTAATGAAACCTAGTCGGTCATGCCCTAAGGCAGCACCTCAACAAGAATGAATTCTGGTTGCACTGAGGTCTAAAGAAATCACTTGATGTAAGAAAACCAATTCAAAACCACTGTAGACATCTGGAAAACAGAAAAAACTCAGACTAAGGGTACTTTTCGGTTTCTAACCAAATAGCAACTACTTGCAGGAAAACAAGTGCGAACTCACTTCAACGGCATTTTTATTCTGATTAGACATTTTGTAGTTTTCGTATAGTGTGTCGATTTCCTGAATAAGCCGTTTCTCGAAATCTGCGGCTAAGTCCTCCCCACCCATTTTTGGTGCCTTTTTGAACTCCTCCAACGCCTTTTGCTGAGACCGGATGTGCGCGGCGTCAACCATCCGGGGTGATACGAACGGCTGACGAGGCCCACAAACCTAAAAAAGGAATCAAGTGGAAGAGGCAAAGGGCATCACATTAGTCCTTGGTGACGTAAAACGACGATTTGAAGTAGGGCTTTGTGATCAGGTAGGTCCTGAAGCCCGACTAGAAACCAGCCTAAGCACGTTGTCAAGGCAAAGACGCTCCTACAGAGGCGGCCTTACACATTCACTCCAAGTAAAACATGCACTTTTTCAGTCATAAAATGCCGATTTACTTGGACTAACTTTAGCTATTTATTGTCAGTGTTAACCTTATTAACAAAAACTTAGCAAATTCATTATCAGAATTTATTCAACTCGCTTTACTTGGCCTTCAAGCTTTTAAACAATGACAGGACTTATAAGACTGACCAGAATGAGAGACAAACATTTTTAAACGTAGAGAAATATGAAAATCAATAAACTTACCTACAAGTAAAGTACCATTTATGGTTGGTAAAAGTCGTAATGTACTGATTATATAAAAAGGTTTAATAATCATACACCATCTCAGAGGAAATACATCATTATAAGGTATTAGACAATGCGATAAAAATTCAACTCGGGAGAAACTGCAATGACACATCGGCAGAACATGAATTAAAGCCACGATACACCAGTGTGGAAGTTGCAGAAATAGATAACCTCAGTTCTCACTTATCCCATTAAAATTCCCTAACTTGCCAGTCGACAGGACAATAACGTATTGTACAAGAAAAACGTCTGTAGATTTCTATTAAAATTAAATCAGCCTAATTAATACCACATTTAAGGTTCTGCCCATGGTGAAACATCACTTTCATAACAAGGAAACGCTCCGAATCCCCGGGGATTCAAAACATGGTCCCGCAAATACGATGGAAGTTAAACGGCAGGAAAAGAGGTGCTAGAAGAATCGAACCAACGGAAAACAAGACATAAGCTGATGCTTTATTATCAGCCATGGGATTTCAATAATAAAGAGTATGCGATGATTACGGATTCTTGTAATTTGAAGCCCCGCATACCTGAGACTTTTCGAAAATGTTACCTATTTTATTATTTAGCTTAGGCTGACTCGGCAACAGTTAACTAGGATCCTTAGGGCAGTTATTGTACCTACGGTACGATAATCTATTTTTTAGAATCCAGAACAGTTAAAGGTTAAATAAACAACAAAACCCACCACCGTTTCCCTAAATTCACAAGCCTATTGTAATTATTCCCTTTGTTCATATCCGATGTAGTACAAAAAAATAAGATGCTTTTGGATCAATCATGGCTTCTTTTTAAGCTTGAACCCCTTAGGGCTAATAAGAAAATAATCAAGAAATTAACCATTCTGAGAAGCTCAGGTATAAAATGACCAATATAAACCTCGCGTGAGGTTTGACTAGAAGGTAAATTGAATATGATGAGCTATAAACTAACTTCGTTCATTTCTTGAACATAGAGATTACGGCTTCGATTGCAAGCATTCAAGTTGTTAACTTCAGCGGTGGCAGCATACATTGAGACCGGTTCGGGCAATTCATCACTCTGAAATATTTTCATGTAGGCTCGGAAGTACTCCAGCAGCTCACAACAGGTCACAGGCTGCCCGTTGATAGTCTTTACAGAGAGATTCGAAGGCGAAAGGACGTGAGGGACGTAATCTTTTAGTTGTTCTATGAATGTCGGCTCAATGTCAGCAAGACGACCGTTAAAAGTAGGACTCCCAGCCACGATTAGACCTGGGTGCGGCATCAGATAGCACTGGAGATCAGCGAAACACGATTTAATGTGGGTACGCAATAAGGCATTCTCTTTTGGCGTGTGCTCATCAACCTACAACGCAAAATATTTAGGCATTCATCTCAGATTATTTTAACGCGTAAAGCAGAACAAGATTGAAGGAGCTTAAAAAACGTGGATTGTAACTAATGGTGTCATCTCATTGACATCAACAGCGACACCACTAATAAGGAATCTTTACATGGATGAAGCATGCAAAATTATCTTTGTTATTAAGTTTATCGCCAGTAAAAATGTATAAAAACAATCAAGCTACCTTGTGGAATCTAAAATCTCAGTCAAATCTCCTCGAAGATAATTTTTAAATTTAACAAAATTTCATTTTGGCTGAACCGGCGTTGATGAAATGACATACTTTAGACCATTACCTTCGTGAGACAAGATAGTGGCCCCGAAGATTGAAGCAATCCGTCATCGCGTCAAATAAATAATGATGATAATTTTAGTGAAGCAAAACATGTGGGAATAATCGGAGTTGACTGTACCAAAGGAACGATGGTGTAAAAAAACGAAAGTGCAAACTATTGCGATGAAATGTTTTCAATTAAAAAAAATTGCCAAAAAATAAGCAGACTTGAAATTTGCTAAAACATGCTTCGAACAATAGGACCTGGTGCGGACCAAAAATGGCATGATAACATGGTTTCTTTAAAAATAAATGTGAATAGTCCCTTTGCAAGAAATCAGATTGTCTCCGAAGGGCAGAAGAGTGATCACGAAAGATAGCGGTTTCTTAACCTGTTTTTCCTTACGCCCTTAAGTTAGGGGTACATAAGATGCAGACAGGGGAAATAATAGAATTCCAATCCGACTTACCTGAAGGCGTTTATTGAGAAGTTCCATACCACCTTTAGTTCCATAAGGGAGCTCGTACGCGAAAGCCCAGTCACGGACAAGGAACTCAAGGTGCTAAAGAAAAAAAAAGCTGGAAGGTAGTAAATTTAAATTCAGTAAGTGCATTAACCGAGACGCGTGAAATTAACACTAATTGCCACAGTTTAATAACACAACATTTCACTCTTCTGCTGGATTACGTCATAAAAGACTGGTTATTACACTGGGATTAATCCATGGTAAAATGTGTTTAAAGTCATTTTAAAATTTTTACAACAGATTTCTAAGAATCACCTGAAAAGGTGTTTGGGCATATCCGGCCTCCAGTGCAATCCTCCCGTATTCCGTAAAAAATTGAAGATGTTGCAAATAATCCTCTTGTAAATTGTCTTTGATATTGAATATTTCTTTGCTGCTGAGCATAGTGCTCAAAGCGAAGATGGTAGCCGATTGCTTCATATTAGCTCTACAGTCGAATGAGCCCTGTGTATCTAGAAAAATCACGGCTACTTCTTCCCCGGAAGAAAGCTTTACGAGGAAAACCTCACTCCACATATGGATGCCAGTTGTGTCGCGGTCGGCGCCCCCACGCCAATGAAACCCAGTTAGTGGTTCGTTTGGATCGCCAAGCCAATTAGTTTTGTCTTTTGAATACATATAACGCAGGAAAAAATCGAGAAGAAATGACTTTCCTTTACGAAATGTACCGACAACTGAAACAACCACAACTTTCTTATTTCTTATGACTGGGTTCAAAAGAACTTCGGAAAGAGCAGACTCCACAAGTTGCAACGAAGTTCCTTTGTCCCCTTCACCGGTAGACACAACTTGGACAGACCTCGCTATTTCAGATTGCATCGACAAACACAGAAGCAAAAGCCTGATTCAAATGTGATACTACACAGATTAGGTAATTATAATAAAAGTGCTCAGTTTAAAAAGGCACAAATTGTTTCTTCTTTCTTTTTCTCTATAGCTCAAACTAGGGTGCTTGAATTTTTTTTGATTTCTTGAAGCATTAAATATGTATGGGATTAAAATAATTTTCCCAGGTACTGCAATAAAAATTCACTAGTTGTGCATTGCAGAGCGCGACGAAAATGCCTTTCAGTTTCTAGGATCTTATCTGGAAACTGCCTTTACTGTCAAAAACGTTGTAATTAAAAAAAAATTTACATTCATTTTATTATTGGTAGCTTAGTCAAGTGTGAGATTCACTGTTAGCATTAATCTCAGTTAAATAACACTAAAAATCCAATCAGTCAGGAGCCCACGACGAGACACAATGTCGTGTGTCTTGACTAATGATTGTGCCGACGGCAAAAGGTAACTTTTTTTTGTTAACCTTTTTGGGTTTTGCTGATGTCAATGAAACACCGCCTTTTTATATGCCTTTCATTAGCAATATACTCGATTTTCGCTCAATCTACCTGGATATTTCGTGACCATATATGACGATTAAGGACAAAGAAAACCGAACAATTATCATTAGTCCTTGAGCATGAAAGCTGTCACTGATGGTTAATGGAAATTGAGGTAATGTGTTTATATGAGAATAGTTAGATGGTTCATAACTAACGTGAAAGTAAATTTTTGTTACGGAGGTTGCAATTAAGATGTAAGTATAGACTACTCTGCTAGAATTTTTTTGAATTCATAAACAGGGAGGACAGACGTGCGCTAGCAGTGGTGAAAGTCGAGGACAAAAGGAATTACCCCCAGGTTCTTTTAAACTCGGATACTAGATAAAAAGTAATTGGTGCCTTAAGAGACCTGACTGAATAATTGTATACGATTAACAGGATTCAATTTTCATATGATAAAATGGAGGACAGGTCATCCAACACTACTGGGAAATCATTAGCGAACAGTACTCATAATCCAAATGTGCATTTTAATTCGTTGGAATGGTGAAATCGCTAAAGTAGTCTTCAACACAAGGAAAAATATATCGCCATGCTGAATTTCCTTGACTACTGTTAATTTTTGCAGTTTTGGAATTTCATGGCAAATGCACTTTATTCTATAACGCAAATGAAAAAAAAACTTTGTCTACTTTGAAACTTGTGGGAGATTATACTTTTAAGCCCATGATCTGTATGTTACTGGCTCATCCAAAAACAAACAGCAAACGTTATGATTTAACGTGAATTACAGAAATTCAAGCCTAGAACATAGAATCAGATATTTTTAAACCACTACTTTTAGGTTGCTTAGCAGCCTACATAACAAAGTAATAACCATACCTGCATGTGGTATAAAAATAAGTGCAGATCAGCATAAAGTCTGAGCAAACCGATGCTAGTTAACAGAACCTCACTTTTAACTAAGTTAACGGTAATGCTTGCCAATTATAAGGCATTTTATTTGTGTGATTCTCGTAGAATTGGCCGAGTACATTCTTTTTCCTTTTTAAAAAATTAAGAATGTAAGTTTCGGTTTGTCAGATATGTTTACAAACTAGTTATGTTTAGTCGTTTTAAGCATTTATATCAATTTTAAATGCTCCCATAGTGGACCATATTTTATATTCAAACTTATTTTTTAATAACAATTTCAACCTTAACTGTGTTTAATCCGCTCGCATGACCTTCTTTTTACAATCACCATGGCAGTATGCAGCGGTGGTCCTTTTACTCCTCAATTTATCTTTATAAATAAAGCCGATTCATACATCTCATCACACGTGGGCAAAGTGCGTTAATTGCGCAATTAATTTTAGACACTTTATAATGCAGTTTTTAGCCCAAATGTTTCTTCCGATATAGATGTCGAGGGGGCAGAGGAGCCCTCCTCATTAACGAAGCCTCCACCTGGATTCAATAACAAAATATTCTGCACACTTTCAGACCCATCCGCTATTTTAAAATTTCCTGCAACTATTGTTAAGGTTATATTGCAACGACTAAAACAATTTTACAGGCTGAAAAATGGATTGACCTTTACTCATTTATTAAGTCATGTGATTATTTTGTCTACAATATTAACGATGACGACCTACAAATAGACGAGGCATTATGGATAGCAGAGAAACTTCATGAAGAAAGTGAAGATTTTAAAAGGCAGAAGGTTTTTGTTCTTTTATCTTCGGTCCTAACATGGGCTCAAATCAGAAGCCTACCTGATGTAAATAAGAATATTGTTTGTCCTATTCACTAAGATGACTAATAAAAATAACACTTTTACTGATGATGACTATATAAAAAGGAATGCCCATCGACACTATTTGAGACACATTATTGCAGAAAAGGAGATTAAAAGTCTTGGAACATTGGTATAACCAAGGTTAAAAATATTATTATATAGAACAAAGCTAAATTTCTTACTTACGTTATTGCAAGTGGTGTTACATACGGAGAGGAAAACGATATTTTTCACTATTTTTTTAAGGTAAGTTTGTGGCAGATATCGATGTGTGGGATATACGAGTAGAGAAGTGACGTACTCCTTACCATTGTAGGCAGGTTGGCTTAATAAAGAAAGTTTAGATGTCATAGGAACTGGTAACAATATTGTGCCATCAATTCATGTCAAGGACCTTGCCAGGTACTCTAATTTTTAGCATACTGTTCTATAATGATCTTGATTCTTTTCTGCCCCAGACATAAAGCCATGCTAGCGCTTTGAGCAATTGCTAGGGGTTAGGCAATTTATGAGACGTCTCTATACTTTTAAAAAGCCTTCCTTAAATTTTATGTTTAAGCATTGTTCACCAAGTATTATGCACGTGTCCGACAATACATTACATTCTTGCCGTGGATAATGGCAACAATACGCTTCTAGAAATAGTAAAGGTGAGTTCAGTGTTATTAAACTTGGAGCGAATCCATTTGTTTGCTTTTTGGTCATTTTAAAAAATTTACCCATAAATTAAAATTCAAACGCCCATGTTACTTGAGTCATTATTTTTAAATTCTGAGCCAGCGACTTGTTTCTTGCTTATTCTGTGAAACATTCTGTGAAAGCTGAGGACTCTTGAGAAACAGAAGCATACGAATTTGATAAAACTAAAATTACATTATTATAGCTTATCATAATGCAGATTTTTTTACCTAGTACATGTCACTTAGCAGGAAAAGCAATTATTAATATACTAGAAATGATTTTTGATCCACAAATTACTGGAGATTGTAGCTTTCTTTGGGAGCCTGTCTCCAAATATTACAGAAATTTGAAACCGATTTTGATTGCATGAGGCGTACTCGCATCAGATATAATTCCAAGAAACTAGGTATTTCGTTGCAAGTGCATGTACAAGCTCATTTTTATAAATCTGCGTAAGATTTTGATGGTGAATTCTAATTTAGACCATTCAAGGCAAATTATCTTAAGTGGACCGTCAAAAGTGAAAACACGAAATGCTGGTGTTGTAGGCACTTTTAAATGACTTGCAATCAAAAGCTTTGCCGTGGTAAATCGGCAAAATTTAGCGACTGTATTTGGGAAAAAATTTATGTAGTTAGAATGTTCGCATTTTAAAAAGTTCTAGATTTCGCTTACGCAGCCTTAGATCAAAACATATTATCCTTCCAGGAAATCTCAAAGGTTCTTACTACTGGTAAAATCAGACACGTCACAGCAGAAGAGTTGATACGAGAGGACAAATTAACGGTAAATGTTGCATTAAGACTGATTTGATATATCACTACCTCAAAAGATGCAAATGGTTAGTTATCAAATTGAAATACAATTATCAGTAACGTGGCACAGTTATTTCGCCGTCAACCTTGTGGTATTTTATTTTTTTAGGCGATAGTCGAAGGCTTTGATGGCAATTAGAAGCCACCCTTAAAATATCTAAATTGGTTTTGAATTTCGGCAATCTTTGCAATGTGATTTGTGTAGATTTGTAGATAACATGAGAATCCTACTTCTGTTTTCACGTGCTCTAAAATAATCGATTTTGATATTAATGATGCTATCAGTTTTAGCAATAAACTATCAATTGTCTCGGTAGTTGGGTTAAATCACTGCCTGGTAGAAACAGCGGAAATATGAAGCCTAAGTTATGAGAAAAAATGCCTTCTAGTCCTAAATTTCTGTAGCAGACAAAGGAGCATATCTAGAAGGCACTGAATGTTTTGGTTAAGTGTTTACAATACCAGACAAAAATATTATCAAAATCCTACAAAATAACTCAAGTTGCACTGCGAGGCGTCAAATTATGCATAAGGTTGAGATTATCTTAAACTCTTATTTTCAAATTTTGAGGGTAATAATTTTAAAATGCAAGATGTTAATAATTATTCTTCTTCGAGTCGTGGTGGTTTTTAATTTTAATCTTACAGCTGACGCAAATTGACAGTTTAACGTTGGACTTGCGCTTGGAAGCAAGGTTTGTACACGACAACCTGAATTTTACTTGGATCTGTCCGTCAGGCATGACTGAGTCCATGCAAACGCTAGTCAAGGAATACAAGCTAGCTAGAGGTTTGTTGGTAAGTCACAAATAAATTTAGCACTTCATTGCCGCGCAACAAAGGAATAAACCATGTCGTAATTATACCAATTCACTTTATTATTTTTATTGAAATTTCAGCTTTTTTGGGTTTTGAAAGTTGTGTATTAATGTATTAACCGCCATCTGTTAGAATTTATATTTTGTATTATTTGGTCCGAGATTCTTGCGTAAACACTTCATTGTTTTCCTCACACTAATGGAAACATATCAGCCCTCTTTTTATTCAATGATTATCAAGCGTTATTGCGAAAGGCGTAAGACTTTAATAATGTTGCTATACCACAGAACCGAGACACAAAAGTCAATTTGAGTGAATGCATCTTTGGTCTGCTTTCTGGTTTTTTACACGGAAAAACATTGCAATTTTTTTAATGTTTGGTGTCCATTGACACTATTGATAAGGTCACTAGAGCAAGTGATATTATATCACCCTGGCTCCAGAAAGACAAATAAGTATATATCTATGCATCTGTACATTTCTATAACTAAAACATGATCATTTTTCTACAAGAAATATGGGATTTTGGAATAACACACACCTAAAATGATATTTTGAGCTTAGTTTTGAAACACTGGTTAGCCCGAAACAGCTCAGTTACACCTTTTTCCTTGTAGCCAATCCGTGTTTGCATTTTGGGTCCTCCACTATCTGGAAAAACAAAACTGGCTCGCCTACTCAGTGAATACTATTCAGTTCCTCATATTCATATTAAGGGAGTCATCGACGCTAAAATAAGACAACTGGTGAGTATAGCTGTCAGTGATTCATACAGCTTTGAAATTGGAAGCAAATTTATTATTTTATATAATAGCAGAAATGAAAAATTAAAAAATCTTTTTTAAAAAAGAAGTAATGTAATCCTTCCAAAGGGTAAATGTGTAAGGTAAGGACAGGAAACTCAAATTTTGGAAAGAACTTAGTAAGGTATCGAATAAAAAAACGTTTGAATCAATATAGACAAACTCCATGTGCACTATGATACCAAAACGTATACTGTCAAGTGGCTAGTAAAATCAAAAATATGACGGTTTTCTAGCGCTTAGCAGGGCAACAGGCTAATAAGGCAGGGAATTCTTGTTTCCTATTAGTTATCATTTCATTAAATCATGAGTGTTAATAAGCTTGTTCAAAACAATTGATTTTGCCGATCCGTTTATTTATTTGACCGAATCCTTGTTCAATATTTCAAAAACTTTTAAGAAATCTTTGTATTTGGTTGTCTCTATGTACTTCGAAAAAAATATTTACCCATGCCAGGAACACACACAGGACGACAACCTCAAATTGTTTGGCAATGTAAGCCTTTCTTAGGAATGCTGTATAGTATTATAAAGAAACCTGTGCTATATATGCTCGATGTCAGAAAAGGAATGTAATACAAATATATTTTTTTCGAAAATTTTTGGAGAATTTCACAAGAAACCCGTGTTTATATGTTAAATTGGTCATTTGGCCAGATAGTCATCATGGCAAGTGCTGTCCTGCAAAACTTTTCTTTTGGTATAGGGTGCAAATGTTTGGTCCCGAAAGTCACTCTATTAGTTCACGACAAAACAAGTAAGGGTAACTAAATTTTTGCATCCGACAAACTTGTAGGAAGAAAAAACGGCGAAAAAAGTCAGGAAACCAGTTAGTGAAGATGTAAATGACAACGGTGCCGAAGTTACGGATGATGCAGGTGATATGATTGACGATGAAGAATTTGATCCTTTTGAACTCTTGGAACAGATCAAGGAAACTCTTTCTAGTGAGAAGGGCCGTCTGAGCAACGCACTTGTTTGCAGGTAGTCTCCAAATTCTTGAATTCATCTTTGACAACAATGGAGTCATATATTAATTTTTAATGACTAAAACCATTCTACTCTTCATTCTAGGTACCGTATTTGTAGTTATAGTCTTCTTTTGACTTATTGACCGAAAACGTATTAGATATTTCTTGTGACACCCCGGTAACAATTCCATTCCATTTCAAATTATATGCCCTGCATGTACTTTTGAATAAAGCTTCCTAAAGAAAAAGCTCAATTCAAAGGAGTGCTCAAACCAGGGATATATTCTCGACGGCTTTCCCAAGACCAAGGCTCAAGCGGAGCTGCTTTTTGGAGGTGAGTTAATCTGCAAGGTCACCATCCCTTAAGATATTTAAGCATTCAGCGAAAATACCTTAGAATTAAGTCACTTTGCTACACAGACGCGGTCGTGCTTGGGTAATTCATTTTTCTGCACATGCTTCACAGTCACTTTTGGAAATACCTCTGCTAACCTATGCAATTTGCTAAGTCATCTATTTAATTTACTTATGCCACAAAATTGCTAGCCAAAGCTTAAGCCGACGGTGATGCAAGTTTTGAGACGAGGGATGTCGCAGTGTAATTAGTAGGAGCTCGGAAGCTTAACTAGAGGTTTCGAGAAACAATCTTATCGTCCTCGTATGCGCGTCAAGAAAGACCGTAACGAACAACTGCTGTAATGACTTAAAGTTAGTGAAGAGTGGAAAAATTGTGGAATGAGACCAGTCGTTTCAAGCATTTTAACAATTCCATCAAGGATATCTCTGTTAAATTAAAAAAAGGTCTTAAATGGACGAGGCATCCATGCAATATAGCGTTGTTTTTATAAAAAAATATATTCAGTTGTACTCCGCCACTTGTTATGACATTTAAAAGCTTTTTGATCATGGAAGAATAAACTGAACTGCCTTGTGAACTAACCATCGTTGAGTTAATAATGATTTTGGATTAACTCAGTTCATAAAATATACCTTTATTTTTAATCAACTAGCAGGGGTTTATTTTAACCTAATGCAAGTGATCGCATAATTAAAAGCCTGCTGTTTTTAAGCTCAGTGCAAATAACGTTTTATTGAGTGCCAGAAAGTATAAGCCATGCTCAGCACATCCCGGCGTGTGCTTTTCCATACAAAGGGATTAATGTAGAAAGACCCACCTATTCACGTTAGTTGACCTGAAGAGATAGCTTGTGTTTAGAGTGAAAAATTAGGTACTCAAAGATAAATGCCTGAAGGAAAATGAACTTTTTAATACCGAACTAGAGGAAATAACGTAGGAGCAGTAATTAGTCTTTGATTCCATCTTTCCTCGCAATTAAGAAAAATTCGATGGCGATGATGAGATCAACGATGATGAAGGAAATGATGACGCAGAAAAAGAAGTGGAGGCTGAACAGAGCACTGAGAACACACCTCTTCGAGAAGAAAGTGCAGCTAGAGAACTCAATATCCCTGACATGACTGCTGAAACCAAATTTTTAGGCAAAGTGTCTCACTCTCCTAGCCCTGATTCACTGCCCAAGGGGATTCTCCCAGCATGTACTATCTTTCTCCAGGCAACAGACAAATTCCTCTTTGCCAGAGTTATGCGACTGACCTCGGAAGAAGTAAAAAATACTCACAACGATGAAGAAAACTTTATCCGACGTCTTCTTACCTATCGAGCAGCACACGCGGGCTCAGAAGTGGCCGCTCTTATGGCCAACAACGAACTACGCAAAGGTCTTGATGAAGAAATGTTGCAGAAGATCACAGGGGGTGAATCGGGAAACCTGGCTCCCACCGAGCAGATTGCTTCAATGATGGCAGGGAGCATAGACAAAAACTCGTTATACGCCTTCTTTGAGGACAAAGGCGTCCCTGTTTTTAACTTTGATGTTGCAAAAGATCACTCGGGAGTGAGTTTCCGTCAGTTGCCAAGTTTTGAAATTCGTTTTTTTTCTTAAACAGGGGCTCTGTAGAATGATTTAGAACATTTAATATTACAGTGGTTTTTACCGTGGCGCCTTTTTGTAATATTGTTAAACACAAAATTTCTTGATATACTAACCAAAAGATTGCGATTTGAAATTAATACAAAACCACAACTGACGAATTTTCAACCATGCTGTAATCGCACAGCAGTCCGAAGCATGAAATTAAATTTTTGGTAATGGACAGCCCTTACAAATTCGCTAATCACAGCAGGGAAAGTTTCTCTAACATGATTTTGGGCTTTTGATACCCACTTCACCTATCAGGTGGTGGGCAGGGCTGAGCGATTGATTGCTAAAATACTGGCCTGGTTGAACCACAGGCAATGATCCGAGTTTCCCCATTAAAGGATTTTGATTTATATATTTAACGACATCCATAAGGGCTACTTCACTCAACTGAGGCGTATCATGAAGTAAATGAACATCGTATGGCCAACTTTACTTGGTGCCACCAAGTCCTGTATGTCAACGTATTGTTTTTTAAATTCCTATTGCACCCGGTGACTGTTTTCCTTAGATTTAAAATTTTGCTGCAATATAAGACATAAATATTAAGCTCAGAATTTATTGTTATTCAACATTAAACCCTAATCAGTAGCTAAATCTGTTTCAACAGCATATAATCAAATATAACTTGTCCTGTTTGGCTGAAACAGAATTTTGTGGAAATAATGCGCAAGATAGGCATCGCAATAGGACCACCGAGGAACTATGGGCCTAATGCGTTCAAATACCAAACCGAACCGGAACTGGCTCGTCAAAGTCGGGAACTAGAACTTCAAAGACTTGAGAAGGCTAGAGTCTCAGAAGAATATAGACGCAGGGAAGCCAGAAAAAACGAATTGGTAAGTCTGCAAAGCACTTGCATTAAGAACTTCAATATTAATTAACTCGAGCGGAACGACATTCTTCTACATCTTTGTCTTTTAGCCTTGTTTAATTAAATAAACCTCTCGAAAATTGAACGCTTGTGTATCTTTGCGAATGTAAGCACAGGTTGCTAGTCAATTTCCACCGACAAAGCCACAAAATACCGGCGACTGAATGTATTGCAATGTTTTGTTCTTTTTCTAGTCTGAAATTCTAAAGCAAGTGCGAAAGGAGGAGGATGAAGCACTGCTAAAGGCTTCAAAACCGCTTCGAGAGTTTCTGGCCAAATTCGTGATGCCGACTCTAACCAAGGGCATTTTCGAGTGTATCTGGAGGCGTCCAGAGGATCCCGTTGATTTCCTGGTGAGAGAATCTATTACCCCAAGAAACTACTTCTAATTCCATGGAATATTGTCCCTTATCTACTTGCCATACTAGTGCAATCATGGTTGCTTGTTAACATTTGACATCCATTAAAGGTGACAGAAATGATTTCCCAACGTAGCGTTATCAGTAAAAGTGCAGCGGTAAAATTGGTTTTAAAATGTAAATGCTTTTGTTTTAAATTTTAGGCTGAGTACCTTTTCAGAAATAACATACAAGTTGATTGAACGAATTTACTGGAGAGAAGACACCAATAAATCTGATGGTGCTCTTTTATTTGCTTTCTTATTTTCAGCATGGTTGTACGTGAGCACTCGAATAATGAGCAAACATTAACTCGCGCTTACTTACATGCATTAAAAATTAATTCACCTATTGCTATTTGCAGAAGTCAGTTTTCATTTTCATACAAACTCAAAGAAAAGACTCCCTGAAACTCTGAAGTAACTCTGCTTCCGGGATCTTCAAGATCCATCTTTTATGTCCATCTTTAATAAATAATAGAAGTATATAAACTCATCTGAATAATTTTATACCGTTTGTGGTATTTCCGATGAATGCAGTCGCTAACAACAAAGTATCTAAACGGATACTTGTATGATGAAAGTAAGAGATGATACCACATGCACTGCCAGGCGTAACAAAAGCAGGCCAGAGATATCAAAGACGCATTCCTGTTTCTCCCACAAGACAAGGGAATTTCGACGCGAATAAATGATTTAAGGAAATCGAATAAAGAAATGAATGAGCAAGGAGATGATTAGTCTTTATTTGGGAGCAATTTTAAATTATATTGGTGATTGTAAAATTTTTCGGCACTTACAACAGCTAATCATCTTAGCAAAAGTAATCGTTTTCACACTATGAATTTAGCATCGTTAGCTCGTTAGTTCCTTGTAGAAGGAAATGGAAATGGACGGGAAAACTACTAAGGGATTAATTATGCACTTGTCTGGAACGTGCTCGATAACATTATTGCAACTGACAAAGGCATGTAAATGGTAAATCTTAACGCTTTCGTTAAAAAACCGAGCTGGTTTGATCTTCATCATTGTAAATGAGATTAATGATGCCAATGCTGTAAAATGAAGTGGGCTCAGCCGAGTTTACCCGACTGGAAGTCGTTTGTGTGACAGAAACGATGTTTGCGAATTAAAGTATGAAGGAAGAATGCTATCTAAGTTGTCCCAGCAGGTTCAGGACTATTCACTCAACGGAGGTGCCTGACCTCTAACCATTGCGTCGAGTCGCCAACCTTTAAAGCAAACAACTCTAAACAGTGCCCAGGTTAGGGTTCTTTGTCCATGACATTATAGAGGCTGATTTTTCTGAAATTTAGGATTTATTTCCATTTTTGACGTATCTTCACAATGTGCTAGTCCGAAGTAAAGAAGTTAACTTGAGCGTCTGCATTTTCATTATAAACCAGTTACCATTCACAAATGTTTCAGTTTGTGGTAGGACAAATCAGATATTAGTGAATCTGATATCAAAAACGTGGAGATTTTTGTAAGTACGCCAGGTCTGGTTAAGTTTAAGCAGCATAGACGAGTATTTTAATTAAAAGACACTGGTTAGATTAGATTATACACAGTGATTTGATTGTTGAAACAAACGAAGCAAAAGCATTAGATGTTGAGATCTATCAAAGTAATAATCTACACCCGCTAAAATCGGCAAGTCCGGATCAAATATAATGTAGTTTTAGTTTTGGTTGAAAATATCCAAACAGAGAACCTTTGAACTTTTAAATTAACTCTACTTGCTTAAATGACTACTCAGAGAATCTCAATTTCTAAAGCACTGGTGGGTGACGAAAAGAGAAGGGGAGAATAAACTTGCAGATTAACTTAGCATTAAAAATTTACTATGAATTATCAAAATTTTGAATTTGCATGAATTCCGCGATAAATATAGAAGGATTTTCAGAATGTACTACATAGTTTATAATTCAATATACTACTTAAATTTTTCTAAATAAATGCTCATCAAAAAAACTGAAGGAAAACAAGATTTATTCTTAAATACACTAAATCTGAACGCACGTATTTACATGGGGGCTGCATTACACTCTCCTGGTGTAAATCAGTCTTAGGAGTACATCCTGCATTTGTAGTATGATTGGTTGTTAGATTTCTTCTGCATGGCCAAGCAGAAATAATTTCACCTGGTATTCTCTTCTCAAATCTCACGTTCCTAAGTCTTCCGCTTTGACAGAAGGATGTGGCGACCTTCGAACTATCACTATTTTCCAACTTAAACGCCATAATTGTTTATCGAGAACAGGCTGTCATTTCATTTTCCCTTCAACTTGTAGCAGTTTTAGCTAATTCTTCCTAAAACACTCAATCTAATAAATCACAATCATCTAGCATGCATTTAAATAAATGTGCAAATCGACTGTCTCCTGTTTTTCTCTGGCTCTCGGGTTTTACGGGGTGTTATATAGCAGGATTGTAAGGTAGGGCAAAACCTGTTGTAGGTCCATCTAATTTAGTAAACACTGTTGACAGCGTGCTTGTGTGAAACCGATTAAATACCACCCTTCCAATCCAACGAGAGCGCTTCAAGATAGTAACTTGGCTAAATTTAGCCTTTATTCGTGTTTTGGAATTGCTTAACGGCTTACTTTAGAGAGCCATTATATGCCATTTAAAGTGCACAAAATGCAGTTTTCATTTAAGTATCACTTAATCGCCGTCATTCTTTTATGGCTCAGGCTATGACCTGTAAAGTTGTCTATGCTCATTGTTGAGTTGCAATGTGTGTTTCTCACAAATAACACCTAATTGAACCTCTCACATTTGACTATCTATCTCCTATTTATAGAATGGGTTGCTATTTCCCGATATAAAAGAAATGACTTAGTTAACCCAATCTGTGTAAAATGCTTTCTTTAATCTTGGCAAAACATTGTGCTGAAATTTTTCTTAAATGAGTCCACCATAAAAAAACTTTTAGTGTTAATCCATTTATTTATTAAATTTGTGTGAAACTTTGCACTTCTTTAATTTGGCTTAGCACCTGTTTATTTTGGTTATCTATTTTACCTTAGTATAAAATGTATTCACTTTACCTACAAGTCCTTCATGATCACTCTGAAGGTCAATGATGTCCCATTCTCGTAAAACTTACCCAAATTCCTTGCCTGAATAAAAGTACGGAGGTCATAGAGGTTTAGTTTTGGCACAAATGTATGATTTTTTTGATATCTAAACTGTTCCTGTCAGTTTGCAATGACAAACGAAAAGTTTGCAAAACTGGGGATGACGGCACATTTAAGTGACCAATTTAATGGTTGAAATGGTTGATGAATAGGTGGTCTGTGACTCAGTAATCAAGTGAAACCATAACCAAGAGTTGACATTGTATTTCGGTCCATTTCATTACCTAGACGATTTAACAACACCGACACAAGGGTTTTTACACTACAAAAGTAGTCAACTTTTTGACACTCTAGGAGTTGAGATAACGTCCTACAACCCAGGATAATTTCATTCCTCTAATATAGGTTTTTTTTTCGAACTAATTAAACGAAATTTGTTTGCTATACCATTTTAAAAAGACTGGTCACTGTTCATTGTTATGATCTTGTCGTTAAGGCTGTTTTGATAGACCTGAACGGAATTAAAAGTACCTGCAGTTTTTTATACGATTACTATATTTTCAGTCGAAATGTCTTCGACTTTAAGACCAGGAGATTTTTAATTGGTTAAACATGAAAAGAAGTTTTTTGATACGGGCAGTTAGATTAAACTAAAACGAGTTAAATTTTAAATGTAAATGGAAAATCACCTAGAGTTTGTGAAAAGAACACAAGATACGATTATCTTATTTAATAATTTTAGTTGAAAATTGGAAATAACTAATTTGATGAGATCTTTGTCAGTTCAGAAAGGTTTTTAATTCTGGAAAAATAACAGGAAACGTTGGAGGCCTGTTAATAGAAGAAATGATTTTGCGTCAAGAACAAGGTAGTAGCTCAACCTATGATAATATAGGTAGAATACCGCTGACAAAAACATATATGTTCAATGAAATACGCAAAGGTTAATCAAGCATCATTAGATTAGTTCTCGCTTAAGGATATTTTTTCAAACAGTAGCCGCATTCCCATTTGAAGCGTCATCGAGCAGCCAAGTGTCATTCCAATGATGCCAAGCAAAAGGCTCCACGAGCCCATGTATCGATTAAAGAAAGCCAAAGTAGCGCTCACCAAGAAAAGTGATGCAACTGCACTTACGCCAATTCCTAAATAGGAGAATAATCGATGAAAGCGACCGTTCATTAGACGCGGATAGATTTGCTTTATACCAAAACAAGCGGCGATAAAATGGAGTACAATTGATATACATATAAGGATTCCAACAGGCTTTGTGGCATAACCAGTGGGATTGACTTGGCATGAGCCTGAAAAGACTCCGCCACAAGGCCAACTTTCGATAGCCACTGAGAGAATGAGAAACAGAAGGGAAAACAAGGCCGTAAGAACAAAGAAAATGCACTCAAACATGCTGGTTTGGAGAGTAGTGAGCGGCAGTGACCAATGCATCAACGGAAACCCGATTTATAGGGTCCAAAGTGGTCACTTGCGTATGCGTACTCTATCACATACGGTGTTTGTGTGTGCAAGATGCAAATTGATATCAAGTACAATTTGCATATTCTGGTCACAGAAATGTTTTACTTCCTGCTAACTTTGTCTAAGGTCTATCTTCCTAAAAAAATCCATAAATCTAGTAAGTGAAACACTGCTAGAAAACAAGGAACAAAGCACTGGTGTTGATTTTATAAAAATACCTTAACATACGTGCCATTCGAGCGTATTTACGAGGAAATCTCACTTGAAATATGAAAAAAAAATTAAATAGGAAAACACATGAAAATGGCTTGACGCCTTTTGCATTGATGATTGTAACAGTCAAATAAAGAAAACATTTTATCAAATTTACTGTGCCAAAATACAAGCAAAGCGTCCTAACTTCCCTCACACTCAAGATATTTATAAATTGATTGTTAAATTGTAGGCCGTTCTGGCCGAATTAAGGGGATGGGATAAGTTCAACATAGTCTCTTTGATATGGACCTGAAAGCATCGCCAAAATTAATTTTTTTCTAAAGGAATCACAAGACTTAGTTTACAAAACATGCGTCAATTCACGCCGGTCTGTCCAATTTAAAAATGGAAGTAGTCGATAACAAATTGTTACACAAAATGTGTTACGAA